TTGGTAATGGGCCACAGTAATCAACCACATTGTATATCGACAAAATAAAATTAAGAAAAAATAANCGGTAATGGGCCACAGTAATCAACCACATTGTATATCGACAAAATAAAATTAAGAAAAAATAAAAATAAATAAATAAATAAATCTTTAGATCCATGAACATGGGATGTCTTTTTATTTATTTAAGTTTTATTTAATTTCAACAACGTTTTGAAGTTTTCAGAGTATAAGTTTTATACTTGTTTTATTGAACTTATTTCTAAGTATTTTAATCCTTTTGATTCTATTATAAATGGAATTGTTTTAACTTCATTTTTGGTTTTCTCTTTGCTACTGTACAGAAATAAAATCGATTTTTATATATTGATCTTGTTTTCTGTACCCTTGATAACTCATTTTCAGTCCTAATGGTTTTTTAGTAGATTCCTTAGGATATTATATATAGAAGATAATATAATCTGCCTTTTTTGTTGTTGTTTTCTTGCCTAATTGCCCTCCAAATTTGTTCTTTGTTGCCCTGGCTAGAATCTTCAGTACAATGTTGAATAGAAGTGGTGAGAGTAGATATCCTTATTTTGTTCCTGATTTTAGGAGGAAAACATTTAGTCATTCATTACTAATTATGATGTTAGCTGTGAATTTTTCATAGCCAACCTTTGCCAGGTTGAGGAAATTCCCTTCCCTTCCTTGCTCGTTGAGCGTTTTTATCATGAAAGGGTACTGGATTAAGTCAAATGCTTTTTCTCCATCTATTGAGATGATCGTGTGGGGTTTTTTCCCCTTTATTAATACAGTCATGTGTCACTTCACAATAAGGATACATTCTGAGAAATGCATCATTAGGAGATTTTGTCATTGTGCAAACATCATAGAGAATACTTACACTGACGTATGTGGTAAATATAAGCTACTGCATACCTAGGCTATACAGTACAGCCTCTTGCTCTGACCATCGTCATATGCAATCAGTCGTTGACTGAAACATCGTTATGCAGCACACGTCTCTGTATTGTGAAAAAGCTATGCATGGATTTCAAAATTTTTTTGCATCAAAATATACTCATACTAACTTATTATAAAATATCTAAAAACAGTATGTAGTTTAAGGCACTAAGAAGGATAAGACATCAGTTTGAAGGAACATGAATTCTGCTAAAATTGAAGCAAGAACAAACATCAAATTTATGGTGAAGCTTGGGTGGAAGAATGGTGAAATCACTGATACTTTATGAAAAGTTTATGGGGACAGTGCCCCAGAGAAATCAGCAGTTTACAAACGGAGAACTAATTTTAAGAAGGGATGAGACGATGTTGAAGTACTCAGCAGCAAAACATCCATATCAATGTGTGAGGAAAAAATTAACCTTGTTCATGCCCTAATTAAGAGGACTGACAGCTAACTGAAGAAACAATAGCCAACACCACAGACATTTCAACTGGTTCAGCTTACACAATTCTGACTGAAAAATTACTGTTCAGCAAACTTTCTACTCAATGAGTGCCAAAACTCTTGTGCCCAGATCAGCTGCAGATGTGACCAGAGCTTTCAATGGAAATTTTGAACAAGGTCAAGATCCTGAAGCGTTTCTTTGAAGAATTGTTAACAGGAGATGACTTGGCTTTATCAGCGCAATCCCAAAGAGCACAGTCAAAGCAATGGCTACCAAGAGGTGGAAGTGGACCGGTCAAGAGCAAAGGTATTAGCAACAGTGTTTGGGGATGCCGAAGGCATTTGGGGGCTAGCTGTATGTCAGTTGGTTAGAGCACAGTGTTATAAAAACAAAGTCAAGAATTTGGAACCCCGTACGGCCAACACCAAAAAATAAATAAATAAATAATAAAATAAGATTTTTATAAAAGGCATTTTCTTATTGACTTTCTGGAAGGCTGAATAATGATAACATCTGCTTATTGTGAGAGTGTTTTGAGAGAGTTAGCCAAAGCTTTAGCAGAAGAACTCCCAAGAAAGCTTCAACAGAGAGTTCTTCTCCACCGTAACAATGCTCCTGCCCCCAAAAAGGGCAATTTTGCAAGATTGTTAGTGGGAAATCATTAGGAAACCACCTCGTAGTCCTGCTTTGGCTCCTTCTCACTTCTTTTTGTTTCCTAACCTTAAAAAAATCTTTAAAGGGCCCCCATTTTTCTTTAGTTAATAATGTAAAAAAAAAAAAAAGACTATTGACATGGTTAAATTCCCAGGACCCTTAGTTCTTTAGGGATGAACAAAATGGCTGGTTCAGCACTTACAAAAGTGTCTTCAATTTGATGGAGCTCATGCTGAGAAATAAAGTTTATATTTTTTATTTTTATCTCTTAATTCCATTTTTCCACGAACTTTCTGAAATCCCGTCATATAGTGTATTACATTGATTGATTTTTTAATGTTGAGCCAACCTTGCATTCCTGAGATCAATCCTACTTGGTCATGATGTATAATCCTCTTTATGGGTTGCTAGATTCAGTTTAGTAGTATTTTGTTGAGGATTTTTGTGTCTGTATTTGTAAGGGATATTGGTCTGTAGTTTACTATGTGATAAGTCTTTGTCTGGTTTTTGTATCAGTGTAATTCTGGCCTCATAGAATGAGTTGGCAAGTGTTCCCTCCTAGTCTTTGGAAGAATTTGTGAAGGATTAGCATTAATTCTTCTTTAAATGAATGGTAGATTTCACTAATGAAGCTATCTTGTCTTGAAATTTTTTTGTGGGAATATTTTAATTACTAATTCAACATCTTGTTAAATGTCTACTCAGATTTTCTATTTCTTCTTGAGTCAATTTCAGTAGTTTGTCTTCTTAGGAATTTGTCCATTTTATCTAATTTGTTGACACTTGTGAATAGTATTTTCTCTGAGCATTGCTTCAACTGTTTCTCACAGATTTTGTTATATATTTTAATATCATTGTGGTATAGTAATTTTGCAGTTTTAGTTTGTATTTCTTCCCCGAACCAATTGTTGTTAAGAGTTTCTTAAAACTTTTCTGGTAGAAAGGCCCGTGTGTTTTCTGATTTTGTTAATTTTTAATTGGTTTGCTGTGGGATAAAAATGTATGATTTTAAAGAAAGTTTGATTTCTATTTTTTATATTTATCAAGTTTTATTTGTGGATGATGCATATTTGATGGGCATTTTTAAAAAAATTTTTTTTTCCTTCATTCTGCAGTCTGTGTTTTCTCTTTTGGGGGTATATATGTTTCTTCTTTCTGATCATTTAGAAGTTTGTTTTTTAAATTCTTTTCATGATCACTTTTTTTTTTTGTCTTTTTTCGTGTCCGGCAATGGATCGCAACCCTCAGTGTTGCGCCCGTACCAGACTGGGACCGGCAACGGGATCACAACCCTCAGTGCTGCACCCGCACCTCGCTCAGCCAGTGAGCAGGAACCGGTCTGTATGTGGGATCCGAACCCTCGGCGGGAGCGCCGCCGCACTCCCAAGCGGCGCACTGTAGCAGTGCGCCACCGGGCCGGCCCCATGATCACTTTTTTATCTTTAAATAATTTTTATTACGTATTTAGCAGTTTTTATTGTTATCTTTTTGGCCTGGCTATGAAACATGAGGAAATAGTTTTCCACTATCTCCCACCTTCTCTCTCCTTTTTTCTCTTTACCTTTTGTTGTGGTATTACTACGTCATTTGTAATGTTTGCAGTCACAGAGTTGTTCTAGTCCTTCCTTGCACTAGACTAAATGAACTCTGCTCACTTTCCAGTTCTTTGTTATTCATTCTTTTTTCTACTCTAGTAATTCTTCATGTAGTAATTTCTTTAAGAAAGACTCGTGGCAACTATATTCTCCAGGTTCTCTGAGTTCATATTTGAAAATATTTGTTTATTGTCTTTTATACTTAAATGAAAGTTTGCCTGTATATAAATTTCTTAATATACTTATATAAAAATATTCGACTGTGTGTGAGAATATCTGCAGGTTAAATTTCCTAGAAGTGGGATTGCTAGGTTGAAGGATAGGTGCATTTTTAATTTTGATAAATATTTCCAAATTATACCAGTTCTCTCAAATAACAATATATAATAACAGTGCCTACTTACCCACACTCTACTTAACAGAGTGATGATATGTTTTTTCTTTAACCTTTGCTAACTGATAAGCATAAAATAGTATTTCATTTTGGTTTTAATTTGCAGTTCTTTTCTTGTGTCTGAGATTTAATATCTTTTTAGATTTTTAAGAGCCCTTTGGTCTTTTTTGCTGTGACTGCCAGTGTTTTATGTTCATTTCTCTATTAGGTTGTTAGTCCTTTGGTTTGTGATGGCCCTTCCATATGTTAAGAAAATTATCCTTTTTTTCATTTGAGATGCCATTGGTTTTTCCTAGTTGTGTTATGCTTTTTATTTTGTTCATGATATTTACTACTATGTAAGAAATTTCAATTTTATGTTATCTAGTTTTATCAGTCTTTTCTTTTTTAGCTTCTAGATTTTGTGCCTTGCTTAGAAAGGCATTTCTCCACTATGAGACTATTTTTATAAATATGTTCTTACAATAATACTATATTCTATTCCCCCCCCCCCATATATATTTGTTTTGGCATGATCTTTGAAATGGGCTTCTGATGTAATCTTTTGTTCAGATGGCTACCCAGTTGTCACAGCAATATTTATTGATTAATTCATGGATATTTATTTCTGGAAATCATCAGTGTAGCAGTGGGAACAGATGAGTTCACCTAGGAGTGTACTATAGATTGAGAAAATAGGGCCTCAGTCTGAATCTTGAAAGAATCTCAAAATATCAATTTATGGTTAATGAGAATGAGTCAACAAAAGAAAATGGGGAGGAGCACCCACAGAGACGGGAAGCTGGGAGCCTGAGGACTGGGGAAGCGAGCCTCTCAGTGAAAGGGAGAGACTGGTTGAGTCGAAGCCTGCTGAGAGATTCAGGAAGATAAGGACTGGAAGTTGTTCACCAGGTCCAGCCATGTGAACATCGTGGACCTTGGCGACTGCTCTTTGGAGGGGTAGTGAGGGCAAGTGCTAGATTAGGGCAGGTATGGGAGCCTGAGGACTGGGGAAGCGAGCCTCTCAGTGAAAGGGAGAGACTGGTTGAGTCGAAACCTGCTGAGAGATTCAGGAAGATAAGGACTGGAAGTTGTTCACCAGGTCCAGCCACGTGAACATCGTGGACCTTGGCGACTGCTCTTTGGAGGGGTAGTGAGGGCAAGTGCTAGATTAGGGCAGGTCCAGAAGTGAGGAGAGGGGGGAAAAAGCAAACAGTGACACTTCTTTCAAGAAGCTTATCTGTGAAGGGCAAGAGAGTAGAGATAGCTGTAGTGGAGGGGAAGTGACATCAAGAAAGGTTTTAAAGATGGGAGAACTTTGTGCATGCTTAAATGCTGATAGAAAGGATCCAGTGAAGAGAGAGATGATCAGTAGTGAAAGGTTCCTGAGGGAGTGACATGAGACCTAAATCTGAAGTGGAAGGACCTGCAGTCGCAGCAGGAAGGAAGGAGGTGAGAATGGAGATAGAACTGTCTTTGTTCACCCCTTCCTTGAAGGCAGTGATAGGTTAAGAAGTGAAGATAGAGGTAGGATGGTGGGTGCCTATTAGATCCAGTAGAGGTCAAGGGTCATGTCATTATGGAGCTGGCTGAGGTGAAGGTGTGGTGACCATGTTGGCAAGTCCAGAAGATCATCCCCATCTGGTCCCAAATTAGGACCTTTGGCTTACTGGTTGCACCTGGGGCCCAGACCAAGGTTTTAGCTTTTCATAGCCCATTGCTTTTCCTCCCCATCTCACTTTCCACTTCAGCTTTATTACCCACACTAAACCCCCTCCAGCCTAATTTCTTTTACCACAGTGATGCAGAAGGCCTCCTACCCCAGCGAACCCTGTTGCCATGCCTCCCTCCCCCCAGGTTGGCAGACTGTCAGATGTCAGAGTACTTGGTACTCTCAGGCCCCAGTTGTTCTGATCCCTATTGGAATTCTCCTACAAGCAACCTTTAAGCCTGTGGCTTGAAGGGTGAGGAGAGATAGTCTAGGGGCTGGTTTCTGTTGCTGTTGACCACTTGGGAGCATTAGCCTCTTATACTCCCAACAGGGAGGATCTTTACAATTGATCCATCATACTGAAGGCTGTTAGTTGCAGCTCAGAGGTAGAGGAGATAACTCTGTGCTTGTTTTCTGGCTCTGTAGTCCTGAGCGTCCTCTATTCTGCAGGGAGACACAAACTTGCCTGATTCCAGAGATGCCTGGATAGGGGATGGGTGGGGCCGTTCTGCAGTGAGGAACAGTCACTTGTATCTGGCCGGGTCCACCTGGAAGAGCTCAGCCTACAGTGAGTAGTGGGGGGGTGGGGGGGAAGGAGGGGGCAGACCATAGTCCCCTGGTTTGGGGACTTGATGGCTGATGCCTTCTAGATCTTTAGGAGTCACAGGCCTGAGAGTATCAGCCCCCGTGTCTCTGCCCTGCTGGACAGCTTTTGCTGTCCCAAGGCTCTGATGTTCAGTGCCATCACAGAGCCTCCACCTTTTCATTGTAGGCCGCAGAGCCTCCCCAGGCAGTTGCTGCTATTCTCCATCTAGCATGTCCAGCTTGGGGACCTGCTTCTCCACTTCCTACCAGGATTTGGCCAAGCACATTGTGGACACTTCTATGGCTGATGTGAGTAGCTGCTCCCACTCATCCCCACCACTACTTTAAGCAGGGTATCGCTTAAAGATTACTTTAAGCAATCTACACCACTACTCTGCTGGGTGGAGAGGAAGAGAAAGGAGGAAAAGAGCCAGGCAGATTAGGGCCATCAAAGCTTGTGAGCTTCTTCAGTGGCTCTCCATCTTGAGAAAAGGGGAATTCAGTAAATGCTGGTCAGATTGACCATTCTAGGGGCCCAGTTTGTTCTGTGCCTACTAATTTTGGTGTGGCCACTATGTCCCCAGGTAATGGCTGCTTGTTCAGATAATCTGCACAACCTCTTCAGCTGCCAGGCAGCAGCTGGCTGGAAGTAAGTTCCTTTGCACAATGTCATGCTCCTAACTCTGTTATCCTGCTTAGCTTCTCTTCTCCTTTCCCTTCTCTATTCTGTCTCCTGTTTCTCACCCTGAGCTCCTCCTTTGTGACTTCTGGAACCCATTTTTACCTCCTCCTCTTTTTTGTCCTTGGTGTTTCCCGCCAGCTATCAGGGTGAGGAGCAAGAGGTGCAGTTTTACTACAAGCTGTTTTCTTCTACTCGGCATGGCTTCCTGGGGGCAGGTGTGGTGTCCCAGCCATTGTCTCATGTGTGGGCAGCTGTGAGTGACCCTACCCTGTGGCCTCTGTATCACAAGCCCATCCAGACTGCGAGGCTGCATCAGCGGGTGACCAACAGTATCAACTTGGGTGAGCCCAGGGAAGGGAAGACTTTCATGAGGCTTGGTTTCTGGTATGTCCACTGGGCTCTGGCCAGGGAACAGATATAGGGAGTTGGAGGTAGCCTTCTTGGGAGGCCGCGTACTCAGGCTATCTGCAGATTGCTCAGCCAAGGTCTAGCTGGGTGTCAAGTCATGGAAGTTGGGGTGATGGGGGCGCTCCTGGGCCAAGAAGGATTTAGGACAAGGTCTGTCCACAAGCCTCCTGACTCTCTCATCCCTGCTCCTCCAGTATACTTGGTGTGCAATACTACCCTGTGTGCATTGAAGCAGCCACGGGATTTCTGCTGTGTCTGCGTGGAGGCCAAAGAGGTGCCTGCCTTTGTTGTGGTAAAGATGTTGTGGGAAGATCATGGGCTGGGCTGGTGAGAGAAGCAATCTACGTGGGCATCGGGTCCTCTTGGGGAGAGGGCAAATTGGGGCTGGAGCCAGGGTGGGGATGGCTTGAAGTGCTACCACTTGGCCAGTGCTGCCTTCAATCATACTGACTACACTTGAGGCTGTTCTTGTTTTGTCCACGTTACATAAGCAGGACTCACATCTCTTTCTGTCCTTAGGGGCACCTATCTATCATGGCAGCTCAGTCTGTGTACGACACATCCATGCCAAGACCCAGCAGAAAAATGGTCCGAGGGGAGATCCTGCCCAGTGCCTGGATCCTGCAGCCTGTCACCATGGAAGGGAAGGAAATCACCAGAGTCATCTACTTGGTTCAGGTGATACCCCCCTCGCAGCCAGCCTTATAGCCCCCAGGGATTTTTCTGTCCATCTGCTTAATATCCTGTGCCCAGGCCCTTTAGCCTGAGAGCTGGAGACTCGAGAGATTTTTGGGTTCACAGTAAGGGGAGTCACTGGGGAATTAGGAAGGAATGAGATAGTTTATCAACCTTTTCTGAAACTGACATTACCAGAGACCTAGCAACCTACATTCTGTGGCTGATCCTAGCATCCTTAGGAGATACATGAGTCAATGCCAGGAAAAAGCAGCAGCCTCAGAAGAGCAGGATGATGACCCATTTTGTTCAGCTCTCTACTCCCAGTCCCCTGACTTGAACTTTGTCATTGGCTGGTGAAAGCTGGTGCTTCAGTCTGAACAGCAGAGCTCAGAGGCCTATAAAGAGAGTCTGAGGTACTTCTCCCATCACCACAGCTTAGGGTGGCTCTGTGTGGCTGGAGTGTGCCTGGCACTCTCTCAAGTCTATCTGCACCTTTAACTCTTCCCTCTCTGCTTTCAGGTAGAACTTGGTGCTCCAGGCTTCCCCCCTCAGCTCTTGAGCTCCTTTATCAAGCAGCAGCCACTGGTTATAGCCAGACTGGCTTCCTTCCTTGGTAGTTAGCATCTTGCTGTCAAGATGGTGTTGCTGAGATGCAGGCCTGTGATGCTCCAGAGACACTGTGGCAGTTCCTCGTTACTTTCTCTTCAGTGCAAGAAGAGCTGAGGCTACCTACTGGCTGACTGGGCAGACAGCATTGGCCCAGAGTTCCCAGCAAGCCCAGTCAGTACTTGGTCATAGCTGGTACCACTACAGAGCGAGCCACCTGAGCTCCTGGCCCTGGCTACCCCAAGTGAATGAAGCTCAACTCAGCTTTTGGATTTCTCACTTTTATTTCCCTTCTCTGGGACTTTATGGCAGACAAGCCACTCAAAGACCAGGATTGGGCACAGCCAGCAGAGCTGCAGGACTGCAATGCCGTGACAAGGTGCTTTCTTAGTTTGGCCCAACCCTCAGGCTGGGAGGGAAGCAAGCAGCTATTGGCCAAGACTCTGCTCTGAATCTGCCTCCAGCATTCAGCTCCACTGTGTGACGGAGTGTTAGAAAATACCAAAACAGAAAAAAGGTTTAAAATAACATCTGCACAAACCAGAATACCAATTTAGAATCTTTTCTCCCTCCTGAATTTTTGTAAAATAGTCATTCATTTTTGCATATTTCCCCTCTCAGGAGAGGACATTTGACATCAGAGTCAGGAGTGTTGAGCAATGCTCTGTTATGGAGCTGTCACTCTAGAGCTCAGTAAAATGGGAGATCACTGGAGAAGCAGGTTGGACAGATTTGGCATCAGGGTCAGGGAGCTAGATCTTTGAGTACTGTGGGGGGGCGGGGAGGCAGCCAGATGCCAGCTGTTGACAAGGCAAGAGGAATTTTAGAGATTAGAAATAGTCGTTTGAAGATGGGAGAGAAGATAGATGATCTCCGCAGACGTAAGTGATTTGTTAGAAGGAAACTCAATTCCATACCTCACCTCATTCAGAGGCATGGTCTCCAGCATTTCCATGCTGCTGCTCTGGCCCCACCTATTCTAGGATGGGATGGAGAGTAGGTTCAGTTTTCTTTTATCTTAGCCTGGCTGAACTTGGGATCTGAATATTCTGTATGTTTATCTGAAAGTGGTAGGGGTGGGAGAGTTCCATCTTTAGTTTTGGTGCCCAAAATCTTTGGTGGTAGGGTAACTATATGGGAATTGAAATGATGTATGGTAAAAAGGGTAAATTTCTATATGGGAATTGAAATGATGTATGGTAAAAAGGGTAAATTTCTGGGTAGTTCAGCAGAAATTTATTTTTCTAAAAAATGTTTGCAGGGGTTTTTTTTTTTCCCTCTTACCTCAGGTTAAGTTATTTATATATTATTAATTGAAGGTTTTAAAAATTGCTTTTAAACTTATCTTCTTGGTTAATTTTTTTTTGGTAACACTTGATATATTTAACAGCCTATTTATGTACTCCCACTTCTTTTCATATAAATCTCTTTCTAAGACTATTGGCCAAAAAGGTCAGAACATTTGTAAATTAAAAGTCCTATGTATACTTTTATTTAGTGGACTATCCTGGGATAGCCTAAATGTGTCATTTGAACTTAACAGAATTTAGCCTGGAGATCATGATGGCTACAGTACCTACTCATGGCCCAGTTTCATGCTATTCAGTTTACCTGTATGTACTGAGAGCTTCTCCTGAGCTTGGCACTGATTGCAAGGTAAATAGCAACCAGATTAGTTGCCCAACTACAGCCCAAATAAAACAGGAGGGAGGATGCCAGAACAGTTATTGCCACACCTAACAGTGACCACAGTGCCCTTGGGGCTTCTGAGGCAGAGCCAGCTTTGGGAATCTGAATGGATAGATAACCAAGACGTAACCTTATCCCCTTTACTAGAGAAGCCACACACCAGACCTGAGTGAGTCTCAACAGTCCGAAAAATATTAATTGAGGATGATTGTCAAGCTACATGACTACACTAATTGTATGGCTAGGCAATTCACAACTAAAGCCAAAATGTTTCATTATTTTAGTTATAATAAGTTTCCAGACCCTTCAAACTCATTGTACAGGCTGGGTCACCAGATCCCTCACATGCAGGTCCATGCTAGGTAATTGGGGAAGATCCCAGGAGCCATTGGCAGATGACACAAGCTCAGTCCGCAGAAGCAGCAGCAGAAGTGGTCTTCCTGTGGCCCCCCCAGAGGGTCCTGGGGACCCTGGCAGCAACAGCCTCCAGCAGCAATAGTGGCCTCCCTGTGGCCCCCCAGGGGCATCCTGGGGGCAGGGGGCACCGTGGATCAGAGCCACTCGTCCTTTATACTTAAGTCATAACCCAGAACACCTGGGTGCACATGCACACTTACATTAAACAAAAACCAGGGAACACCTGGGCGCACGTGCCTATTTATATCAAATGCTCAGCAAGATTCTGAACATCTGAGGGGCCCTGACCATTTTCCTTTTCACTTTCCTTACAGTCCATCCGTTCAGGGTCACTTGCCATACAATCTACACGTTCATAATCTTCCACGATGGTCCTTTAGTGAGGATAAATAACCCTTACATTCACATATTACATATACCATCCCAACAGTCCCAAGTCTTTAGCTTGTTGCGGCCCCAACTCAAAAGTCTCAAGTCTCATCTGAGACTAAAGGCAAAGCCCCTTTCAGCTGTGAACCTGTAAAGAGTCGAAAACAAATTTATCTACTTCCAAGATACAGTGGGACAGACACTGGGTACACATTCCCATTCCAAAAGGGAGGAATAGACAAGAAAGGAAAAACAGTCCTCAAACAAATCTGAAACCCAAACAGGGCAAACGTTAAGCACACTGGGGCATCTGGACCCCCCAAAGCATTGGGCAACCTCACTCCTACAGCTCCGCCAGGTGCAGCCCATTGAGCTGCCCTGGTGCCTGCAGCTTTTCCAGGCCAGTGCTGCACGTTGCCAGCAGCCCCACAGTTCTGGGCTCCCAGCAGCAGTCCCACCATCCTGGCTCCACTACGACCTTTCCCCAGTGGGGACTCTCTGTAGGGGTTCCGACCCCACTTTTCTGCTCCACATTGCTCTGTAGATGACCTCTGCAGCAGCTCCACCCCTGCAGCAGGTCTGTGAGTCCCCCAACTTTTTCATCTTCCAAAACCTGGGTGGAGGCTGCTATGCTGCCACTGCTCTCAAGTTCTGCTGCCTATAACACGACCTGACCACCACCAAGGCTTGTGCTCTCCAGAGCTGTTGCACGAACAACACTTGGGGCTGCCCAAGGCAGGGCTTCTTCAGCCAGGGCAGCCGGAGTGCAGGGAGCAGCCCAGGAGCAGCAGTGCCCCAGGTCTGTCCTCCAGAGAAAGTCAGTTCTCCTAGGCCTCGGTCTAAGATGGGAGGGGTGCTCTCCCAAACTTCTGAAATGCCCTCAGGGCCTTATCTCCCATTGTCTTGGCTATTAGCATCTAGTTGCCCCATCCCTGTTTTTTTTTTTTTTTTTTTTTTTTTTTTTTTTTTTTTTTTTTTGTCTTTTTTGTCTTTTTTCGTGTCCGGCAACGGATCGCAACCCTCAGTGTTGCGCCCGTACTGGACCGGGACCAGCAACGGGATCGCAACCGTTGGTGTGCGCCCGCACCTCGCTCAGCCAGTGAGCAGGAACTGGTCTGTATGTGGGATCCAAACCCTCGGCAGGAGCGCTGCCACGCTCCCAAGCGGTGCACTGTAGCAGTGCACCACCGGGCCGGCCCCCCCATCCCTGCTCTTGAACCACTTGAATCAGCTCGGCCTACACCAGCTATTCACTCAGTCTCGGGCAGTTCTGCAGCATTAACCCAGTCCATCAAGGAGCAGCTGCCCTGTCCCTGTGCATATCTGCAGTTATTCTGTTACCACTGCCAGAAAGACAGGCCTTAGTAACAGAGGCTAGCTTTTCCACCTTTTCACCAGGTGAAAACATACTTGAAATTCTGCAGGGGTACCCATCCTCAGGTCGTCTGCCCATCTGCATGTGACACGCTTTTCTTGGGTTTATACAGCACCTGTCAAGCCATTGGGTTTAAATGGCACCCTCCAAGCCTTCTCGGGTTTAAGTGACACCCATCAAGCCATCTGCCTTCAGACAAAGGTGACATGCATTTACACTTCTCCAGAGCGCATTACACCGTCCACCCCTAGGTCCCATAGCTGCAGCAGCCAGGGGCTCTCCCTGTTTCTGTTTTACTGCTTCCCCAAGTCAACCAATTCGACCTGGGTATATGGGACATAGGTAGTGAACTGGGTCACCTGTGGGTTGCCTACCAGTCTGCCTGGTCCCATAGGCTGCTTGTGCTTCCAGGAGACGCAGTCTCCCCCAACTCATCATCAGATTCATCATGTCTTTGATGTCAGAAGCAGGGATAATCTGTTGCTGTACTTTAGCCCCTAGGGCATGTATCCACACTTCCAACCTGTCTGCTTTCTGCTGCAAATCTTGGAACTGTGATGCTTCATGGGGTTTCTGGTCCATGTTAGCTTGCAGTAAGTATAGCAAGCAACAGCCAGATCCCGTTCAATGGGAAAGCGGCCACCGAGCATCACATACCCAAGTGTAGCCACATTTCCTCCCTGCCATAAGGGGCTTTCTGCTTCTTTACCTGCTTGGCATCCTACCTGAATTGCTGGGCTCTTTTACCTGCCCAGAATCCTGCCGACTATGCCAATTGTCGGGCTAGGGCTAGGGCTAAAGCTAGGGCTCGTGGACCCTTAAAGCCTGTTGTACAGACTGGGTCACAAACCCTTCACACACAGGTCCACGAGCCAGGTAATAGGAAAAGATCCTGGGAGCTGTGGATAAAAAATTAACAGGCTTTATTCAGAGCTAGGAGCAGCCGCCATAGTGGCCTCCCAGAGCATCCTGAGAAGCACCCTGTCAGAGCTGTTAGTCCTTTATATTTCAGTCCATAACCCAGGACATTAGTCCTTTATACTTCAGTCCATAACCTAGGACACCTGGGTGTACATGCAATTACGTTAGACAGTAATCAACGAACACCTGGGTGCACATGGATATTTACAGCAAATGCTCAGCAAGATTCTGAACATCTGAGGGGCTCTGACCATTTTCCTTCACTTTCCCTGCATATTTCTAAGCAGGTGGACAAGTGTACCCCCGGAAGGCATCCTGGATTCAGTTGCAGACCACTCCCTGCACCTAAGTAAGGCCAAGAGTAGGTGGTGCTATGCTGGGGGTGGGGAAAGCTGAAAACACATCTACCCTGATTACAGACACTACTGGGGGGTCTGGGCTTGGTGGAGGCCCTGGGTCAAACTGGTTCTCTCCTAGAAGGCAGGGGACGGAAGAGGGTTCACATTATTTAGAAGGGAATAGATTCCGCTTGGCAGATTTTGGAAGAGGTAGTGGTTACCCCAAAAGCTGCAGATGAGGTTAATTAAAATGGTAGCCCTAGTTTTGGGCTTGCAGGCATTAAGGACATTGTATGGACTGAAACACCACAAACATCACAAAGTGCCTGCAGCATGTCCCATCTCTTTTCAAGTATATTTCAGTGAAGAATATATTGATACATTCAATAATTCACATAAAGTTTAATTAAACAGAAAAGTGGCTAAACAAAAAAATTAAAAGTTGGTTTAGACAATTAGTAGAGAGTAGATGCATAGAAAGGAATCCAGTTAGTTCACTGGTTCATTAGCTGTCTGTCTCCATAATCCTTCAAGGAGCCTTTAAGGCTCACACAGCCCAGCAGGAAGTTTCCTTCACTGGGACCAGGTTAAATTTCCATTCAGATTCACAAGAACATGGTTTTAACTCCGGACCTTACACCAGGACTGGGTTATGGCCCAGCCCTTCAACCGCAGCATCATTGGGGCTTCAGTTCGGTCCCATGTCGCACTCAGCTGGGTCGTCTAGAACAAGTCAAGAAGAGGCCATGAGCTGGTGCTTATTACCTCAGCTTCCAGGGCAATGCTGTAGTTCAGCCACACCTAATGCTGGTTTCTGGGCATAGAGAAAACATTTCTTAATACTTTTTTGGTTTCCAGGCATTCAGAACAAATAGGATTTAAAGGACAAAGATAAAGGCCTTTGAAAATGAAGAGATTAGGAAATAAGGTTCAGATGCAGAATCTTCTTAAAGGAGTGATGGGATGAGTAGAGGGGAAGGAAAAGCGTGGACTGGGTATTTGGGAGAAGTATGATCATAAGGTGGTGACTGAGAAACACTCCCATCTTTCATTTTGTGTT